TTTTTTTTTTTTTTTTTTTTTTTACTGTTTCTACGTTTATCTGTCATTTGTACATTTACATATGAACATGTCCGAACGTATACGTAGCCAATATACGTGTTTTATGTTCCCTTCGTGTGTACCCTTACACGTGCGTTTAATGCTTATGCCAATTTATTAGCAATACATGTGGCCAAATTCGTTTTGCAAAGTTTACCCTTTTTTTTTTTTTTTTTAATCATTCTGCACATAATTGTACTTATGCAGTTTCTTTCACTTTCCATTTCCTTTGTTTATCATTTTTCGAACAAAACAAAGAAAAAATAAAGCTGTTTTGGTTAAATAAAAACGTACCATTTAACATTTGAATACCAGTCGAAAGGGATGTTATTATTTTTTTTTTTTCCACGCGATTGCTCAAAAAGGGGAAATGTGTTTATGCGAGATGAGCAATTGTTGCAACATCATTCATTCAATAAAGATGAACCATTTTGACGATAAATAAATGTGATTTGGTTTAGATAAAAAAATTAAGGAGTAATATTTATAGTTTCTTGTGTTTTTTGCCATGCTCAGAACGTAGCACCACAAACATGTACGTTTTTTTTACTTGAGCAGAAAGTTGAAAAATGATTTCGTGAACACATCATGTTTTCCACGCGCAGTAGGATCATTCCCGCTTCTATGGATTTTGCCTTTGATGCGCGTTTTAAGGGGCTTAGTGGAAAAAATACAAAAGTGGGTATATATACATCAACAGAATATATATTACACTATAAGCATATGCGGCATAAATACATGTACTTTTTTTTTTAACTGTGACAACTACTGCGTATGCTCCGTGAATTACTCGCTTGGTTTGTTACCGTTTTGGCTAACCCCATTTTGTATGCAGCGTAAAGCGGCTTAAAACAGAAAAAACAGCCCCCCACGGGGATTTTCCTTTTTTTTTTTTTTAAAGCGTCCGCTCGATTCTGTGTTTTGGCCCCTTTTCAATATATAATTATATAGGAGCCTTTCGAACAACACGGAACAAAATTTTCTACATAACGCGCAGAACATGTATATGCATATACAAAGCGGCCACGACACATGTAAGGGCAATACATCATCCTGCACGCGTGACTAATTTGGTGCATAGAACCTTGCGGAAAGCTAGCAAAAATGGGGAATACGCACAAAACCTTTTCGCCATGCCCGTAGGGGCAATCTCCCCTTTACCACTTCAATCACCAGTGCGACATATAAACTTGGCTTCGGATTTTACAGGCTTAAGCAGTTTTTAAGTAAACTTTTTTAAGCGCATATAAATTTAGCTTTTTGTACACAAATAAAATAATACCGTATCATATTGCGCGTATAAGTACAAGCGATGCCGCAGTGCAAGAGCTTTTATGGCATATAATTATTTTTTATATTATATAAAATTATTGTATACATTTCTTTATTTTTAAAACGAGGACTGTTTAAAAATGATTAAGCGAATGAACGAAAATTTTTTAAGCAAAATAAAATTACTCCCATTTTCATATTTAAAAAAACCAAATGTATACTTTTATTTAATTTCATTTTTCTGTAGAATTTTAATAAACAGGATTGAAAATTAAAAAAGGAAAAGTTCCCTTGTATAATTTTACAAAACCAGATCAGAATGCAAATTTTTATAAACATCCCGTATGATGACTCATTATGTATTGAGTCATTCAACGTTAGTAGCATAAAAGATGTGAAGGAGAAGATATCTGAGTTGAAAGGTTAGCAAAAACGATATACATGGATCGCAGCCCTTTATTATTATTTTTTTTTATTTTGATTCCCCGCTTATTATGTGGGGATCCCTCCTTATACAAGCCTTAGAACCTTGTGTCACATATTGATACCCCTACGTTTATGTTAAGAACTGAGCTGAGTTTTTATTTTGTGTTTGTGAAGATTGTACGTGTGATGTTATTTTTTTTTTTTGTCCTGCTGTTTTTTCTCACCCCGTATGTGGAGTGTGGACCAGGCTGCTCGTAGTGGCCCGTCCTCTAAGTGTACCACTGCGTACGTATTATGTGTGTTTACATATTTAACTCATACTTGTTTCTTCTAACCCAAAAAAAATTGTGTAGGTATCCCTTGTGAGGTGCAAAGGTTGTTCAAAAATGGCCGCCAATTGGAAGACGAGGAGCTTATGGACCTTCACGAGAATGAACTTGTAAGTTGAAAAAGGGGGGCAATTAACAACAATGGAGTAAAAAATGAATCGTCATTAATATATATACGTGATGTAGTTGACGGTGTAATGAGTTGCGATTTGTCGCATTCGTGATACCGCCCCTAGTGAGAGACATCCTCTCATTGTATATCTTAAGAGCGTGATTAACCTGTTGCATATTTGTGGCATGCCTTTGGTGACCATTGGAAAGGAGTGCAGATAAGAAAGAGAAACGTAGAAACTTATTTCGTAGCTCAGTGTACGAATGAATTAAGAGGCATCTGCTACTTAGTTCGCGTTAATACATTTGTGTGACGCCTGAGTGGCGACACTTTTTTGCTGTATTGTGTGGAGGACTTTACGTGGTATATTTTTTCCGCGAATGGTCTGCCTCGATAATGTAGAATTTTTATTTTTCATGATGATAAAACATGTCAAAAGCAAGTAGGGACATGAGAATATAAAATGTGTTCGCGTTTATAATATCTGAAAAAATAAAAATGTACATTATGTTGCTTATCGTCTTTTTTTTTTTTTTTTTTTTTTCTGTATGCACTATTTGGTGTAAGAGGGAACGTTTTGGTGTGCCTACTATTTCATTTTTCGCTGCATGGAAGTGTTTCTCTTAAGGGAGAATAGATGCATGTTTCATTTTACGTTATACAGAGCGTGGAACGCTGTGGACGTTTCTTTGCGTAATGTTCCGTTTCGTGCTTATCCAAATTACTCATTTGTGTGTCCTCCCCATATATCGCAATCGCTTTTAGGAATACACCATAGACTTAAACTTCGCATTACTTGGTGGTGGCAAGAAAAAGAAAAAGAAAGTTTACAAGAAACCCAAAAAGGAGAAACATAAGAAGAAAAAGGTCAAATTGGCTGTACTTAAATTTTACAAAGTTGGGGACGATGGAAAAGTGTTTAGATTGAAAAAGCAGTGTGATAATTGTGCACCTGGCACCTTGATGGCTGCTCATTTTAATAGAGACTACTGTGGAAGATGCCACCTCACCATTATGAAGAAGTAGACCAACTAATATATCGCATAAGCGTTGTTAAAGGCGTTTTTTTAAAAAATATTTTTTCTTTTTTCTTACCCGTTGCGTTTTACATTTTACATTTTACATTTTACATTTTCTTTTTTCCTTTTTTTTTTTTTTTCTTTAACTGCATATTTAAAGAACATACGGTGAAAAGATAAGAATTATGAATTAACAATGTTACAGTTTAATTAGTTAAAAAAAGCACTCCGCTTTCTGTCCGATGTTGTGAAATTGGCAGGGGCGAATGGACAAATGGAAGCAATGGCTTATGGGGAACAATGTCCCTGATATTTGTGAAGGCTTAATATCCTAGTGGCATGTGTATATGTGTCTGTTCCACTTGTGGTGAAGCATGTTGATGGTAGCTAAATGGACGAACTGCGTCCTTTTTTATGGTAGTATTAAACCTTCCCTTCCCTTCTCCATATAGAGTGGGACGCGTTAAAGTGTTCATAGTTCGTATGAGTTGAAGGTAGAAAGGTAAAGGAAGTCTCAAAAATGGTGAAACATTTTAAAGTAAAAAATTTTCTCATATGTGAAACATTTGATCATTCTGAATAAAGAACAAAAAAAAAAATTGATAGAAAGGTAAACGATGCTTTTTGCAAATGTATGGTTAAAATATGGGGGGGGAGGATTTTTTTTTTTTTTTTTTTTTTTTTTTTTTGTTTATTATCCCCTATGAGGCAGCGTAGAAGGGTTTGGAAATTTTGTGCCATTCGAATGTATATAAGGTACCAAAAGCGTTTACGCTATATGTAAGGCTTGCCATGAGAAATACTGGCGCAGTTTTTTGAGGTCAAGGGGGTAGTGTTTCTTTTTGTTAAAAAGGAAAACACGAAAAACTATCATTTGCACGTTCCTTAGAAGAGGAATTTGCTTGTGTATTTGTTTATTTTTGTTTAACGTTATATGATGTTTTGTTCTTATTTAAAAAAAAAAAAAAAGTAAATTGGTGATAGTAGCAGAGGTGTCCCCATTCATGTCGACAGGTAGTTTATATCACGCAAGAGGAGGGAATATTTTTTAAAACGTCAGAAAGGTGAAAATAACATTTTATAATGGCCAGAGTTTAAGAAACGGCGGAAGAATACAAGACTACTTAGCTGGCGTATACAAAATATATGTGACTCACCAAAATGGGCTATTCGAATAACTGTTGAATTCGTGACTTGGATAAAACGAGAAAGAGTACATTTTAATGGAATGCCAACCGGGAGGCTGCGTGCGAAAGGATGAACTAAATTGCCCCTCACGTAGTACCAATTTACGTAGAGCAAACCTATGTGCATATTTGTGTAAATGTCCGAGGACGGCCCATACAATTACACATAACTTACTCATGTCCGTGCCAACGAACGCCTAAATGACAGATTACTGGGTGAGCACGAAGAAGCATTACTGCGCCACGTGCAATTGTTGGTTGTCTGGGCACAAGGTGAACATAAAGAATCATGAAAAGAGCGCGAGGCATATCGAAAATTTAAAAAAAGTGATCAGCGAATCGTTTAAGAGGAAGGAACAGGAAACGAAAGAGAAAGAGTTCCTGGAAAGGGAGTTAAGAAAATTAGAAAATGTGGAAAAGAAATTGCTGTCTGATTTGCATAAAAATGAGACATCACCTCATCGAACCGGCGACATAAGTTTGAATGTTTCGAATGCGCATTCCAAGAGCAGAAGTGGTTATCGGAGCAGCAGCAATAATGAGCGACATAACACAAGTAGTATTGGCTGTAGTAGCAAACCAGCTATCCGCCAAAAGTGGGTTTTAATGATACATGAAGATACGGGTTCTTTAGTATTCTTCAATAGACTGAAAAACGAAATTGAGCATGAAAAACCCAAAGATTTTTTCGAAGACATTCCCCCAAATGAATCATTTGTGGAGCAAAATGGATGGTACAAATACTTTGATTATAACTCTAACAATTTTTACTACTTCAATATTCACAGCTCGAAAAGTGTATGGGAGTATTCACTCAGCAGGATAAACAGCTTGGCGGACTTCATCAATCGATGTGAACAGGGTGCACAAAATAACATAAATTCTGGTAATCACGCAGCAGTTGCAAATCTGAGTGTGAGTGCGGGCCCCGTGGTCAGTCAGCATTATCCCCATTTGGGTGGACCCTCATATTACGTAAATTACCCGCAAATGATCAGCAAGCAGTGTTATAATGAATATGCCACCTATAATCCGTTAATGAATACGGCAGAGACCGCGCTGCACATGACTGAAAATTCAAAAGAAGAGATTATTCAACAGGGCAGTAACAGCGGCGATAGTAATATTCCTGCGGGTGATGGGGGTCGTGTGAACAGTAGTACCCATTATGGTACATTACACAATGTATCTTCAGCCAAGTGGGCCGATGGGGTAGGTGAAGATGAAGACAGGGTTGCAACAGGAACGCATCCCCAAGGAGGTGATACGAGTGAAGGAGGAAGCAATGCAATGAATGAAGGAAACCCAAAGGAGAAGCCCCCATGTGAAATGAGCGGAAGCGATTTTAAAAAGAGTAGTACACATTTTGAAGAGAACAAAAAAAAGGCGAATATTTCTTTATCGTTTAAGAGGGCAGAAAACGAAAGTACACCTCTGCATGGTAGGAAAGAAAAGGGAAAAGGTAGCATGGGGGGAGAGGACCAAGTTGTGCAAAGCAGTACCGTAACAGAGGACGAAAGTGCTAAACCTGGCGCATGGGAAGTGGTGGAGAATAATGATGTAGAGACAATTTCAAATGAACATATTGAACAAATTTTTTATAACGTCAAATCGAAAGAGGAAATTGAAAAGGAAAGAATTGAACAGCTAGAGAAAGATATCCGTTACGAATATTCTGAATATAATGAATTTTATATTAAAAAAAAAGAATTAGAAAATGTAGAAATATATGTAAACCAAGAATTCAAATTCGTGGACAAACCTATATATAAGAAAGTCATTGATAAGAATCGTGACAAAAAGGTGGACTTTGCCAAACGCAGCATTAAGGGAATGAAGAATAAAAAAAAAATTTCATAGGGCCAGATAAGCGTGCCTGTGCTTGTCTGTGTATATATGGTGTTCTAACCCTCCAAGGGGGGATCGATTACTCTCCATTTTGAAAACTCTCCGAAAAGTTCACAATTTTTGTGCCAATTTGAATGTGCCTATTGGTACCTAAACGTATGTGTAACATATGTCTTTATACCGTGTGGACTGTCGTGTTTTTTCTTAAAATATCCCTTTTTTTTTTTTTTTTTTTTTGCGTTTAACCAAGTCGGTAGTTTTGCTACTCAAAGGAGGACTTATTGAAAAAGCTGCGTACTCTTGCACCTACGTTTTTTACTTATTTTTTTTTGTTGTTTTTTGTGCTTATTAAAGTGGTATATATAGGATCTTAATTTTTTTTTTTTTTAATTGCGTGTATGAATATACACATGTATAAAATTTTAATAATATGATAATAATTAAACATTTGAACAAAAAAAAAAAAAAAATGATAAAATTATAAATGTTCCTATGATTAGATCAAAAGGAATTGAAAAGAGGGCCTGCACCCTTTTTGTAGCGGTATGTGCACACTTGGTGAAGCATAATACAGAAAGTGGTTATTTGTTTTAAGACGTTACACAGCATAGGAAGATTTGTTAGTGGGGCGTTGTGCTGGCACTTCAAGTGTGTGTAGTACAAGCACATAAACATCTTAGGGGATTGTTGCCTGCGCCAGGTGTGCTGAACTATAATGGTACTAAACATAAAATAGGGTAAATTTTGCAAGAGCGGGGGAGAAAGTTTGAGGCTTAGTTTTTATGCGATGCGTGTGACGGCAAACGGTTTAAGAAGTATACTTAGCCTGGTCCGTAAATTTACGCAAAACAAAAAAAAAAAAACAAAAAAAAAAAAAATTAAAAATATAAATGCATATGCATACATATACCATTTTAAAAAATTAACATTATCTTTAAGCACTTGAAATATTTTTCTTATGTGCCCTTCAGAATAAGGCATAAGAAAATATACATGTTAAACACATATGAATTGGATGTACAAATCAAGGCCCCCGCCCCCCAAAAATAAAATAAAATAAAAAGCGAATTTCATCCTTTCATTAGATTGTTCATGCGTACTTAGAAATGTTCACCCTGATTAGGCAAATTTGAAAAAAATAAGGGGGAGGAAAGGCAAAATGCATCAATAAGGCCGTAAACTGTCCCTTTAACGTTTGTGTTATGGCATTATTAACAAATATGTACATAATGTACATTTGTTACTGTTGCCTGTTCACCTTTTTAAGAAGGCTCTAGTTAGTGAAGCAAGCGTAGTGGCACACAGTACGCAGTTATTGTACTTTACGATCTGGGCTTTGGTACATATCAGAAATATTGTTAGTTCTTCAGAGTTGCTTTTGTTTAAAGGAGCATACATACGATTCGCGCCAATTCATCATTTCGGACCATTTTGATTATTTCCGTGTACATATCGGTTTAGTGCTTTCCCGTAGGGCAATGCCACGTTAGGAAGTGCGGCTGGCAAGCCAAGTTGCGAAGACGAACGGCAGAGTTACAGCATACATACCGCTTCGCATACCGGTTTACACACATCTTCGCATACCTGTCCGTATACGTCTTCGCACACCGCAACTGAAGTAAGCATTTTTGTCCGACAAAATGGAAGGCTTCGAAGAGATCGAGAACGCGTACAAGGAGATAGAAGATGAGATAATAAAGACGGTGGAGAGTCTATGTGGAGGAAACTACCTCCACATCAAGGATGACGTGATTATGCCGCACATGAGCGAAAGCCTGATCAACAAAATTATTCTGTTGAACAGACACATCAATGATAACAGCAACGAAGAGGAATTCGAGAAGAAGGTGACGAACGAAAAGGTGATGCAGATAAATGACAAGTTGATATATCTAGTATGCGATTATTACATCAACAAAAAGGAGATTGACAATTTAATTAACTTTACGTCCAGCAACGAGAACTATTTTAATGTGTTACCTCAAGCGAAAACAGCCAAGTTGATAAGGAACATCGTGGAAAAGATATCAAAAAAGATCAGGAATGTGAGTACTCTGTATATAATATTTAAAAAGTACATGAATTGGGCATATGAAAAGAAAAGGAATTTTTTAAGATGCCGGATAGAAGTAAAAATAATCATTTTGTTTATCCTAAAGCAAAAGTATAAGACGGCCCTGAGTTTAATCGAACGGTTGTTAAAGGAGGTGAAGAAGGTGGACGACAAAACGTTGTTACTCGAACTGTACATTGTGGAAACCAAAATATACATGTTGTTAAAGAATTCGACCAAGATGAAAGCATCACTGACGTTTGCTAAGAACATTGCCAATACTATAAACACGGCCATTTATATTAATAGCGAAATAGATTTGCTTTCTGGAATATTATTTATATATGAGAAGGATTACAGAAGTGCTTACATTTACTTGTACGAATGCTACGAAACGTTGTACACGTATATTTATAATAGCCACAACAACACATTAGACTTTTTGAGCAAAAAGAATAACGACTTTTACGCGGTCATAATACATAACATAATTAACACGAGCACGATATCGTCGCAAAATAAAACGAAAAGTATAAGTCAAATTAGTCCGTTCTTACTGTCCTTTTACACCTTCTATGAGTACTACGATAGCAGCAACAGCATCCTAAATTTGGACGAAATTAATATTTGCTCAGGTAATGCCAACTTAATATACAGCGATGTGATATGTAATATTAGCTCTAGTTACCAAGAACTGGAGGAAGAAAAAGTGTATTGCATTACCAACCCAATTGAGTTAAATTATGAAATGATTAAAAATTTGACATTGGATAATTATGGCAATTTATTAGAAGCCAAATCGAGTACCAACATTGTGGATAACCCTATTTTTATTTTTCCCGAGGATAGTTCCATATGTGGTAATTTCGGTCTGAATTTGAATATCGAAAATTTAAAAATTATTGTCCCTTTGAAGTACATGCTTCTGTGCAAAATTTTGGAGGAAAACAACAGGAAGGATATCAATAATATCTTGTGTGAACATAATAAATTAAATTACATTCCCAATAAAGAAATTCAAATTTTGCTGGACATATCCAAGTGTTACGAGAACAGATCACTTGATGTATTTGAGAATATAATTAAAATTAATATTTTTTTAATAAATGTGGACAAAGTGATTTACAACTACTTGAAGGAGCTGTACGAACTGCTGCTGGAAAAGAATATTTTAAAAATTATCGAGGCGTATAGCTGCATTGACTTGAACTATATCGGCCAGAAACTGAACCTAGACTTGAACAAAATTATCTCCAAGCTGTCCGAAATGATCCTGGACAAGAAGCTGAATGCCACCCTGGACCAGAACGTTGGAATTTTGATTCTCTATGAGGATATGCCCGAGACGAAGATGTACCAGAACGTTCTGGAAATTATAAACAACTTGACAGAGTCGGTGGATATACTTTACCAGAAGGCTCAGCTGACGGTGTAGTGGTGTTGCAGAAGTTGGGGTGTACTGCCGGAGGAACACCCACTTTGTGAATGACATGAAAGGGATGCATAAAACGGAAGGCCCCTCTTTTGGAGAAGAACCGTCCACCCATGGAGAGGACTCATAGCGACTGTGGTTCTCATTTTGAAGGGATCAATTTTTTAAAAAGACAGATGTGCACATTACTGCGCAGGTATTCACTGTGCATGGTGTTAAATTTTTTTTTTTGCCTTTTTCCCATGCGTAGTGTGTTAGAAGCATTTGGGTTGCTGCATCTTTTTGCAATTTTTAAATTTTTTCTACAGTATGTTACATTTTTCCATTCCATACTAAAAAAAAAAAAAAAAAAAAAACAATTTATAAAAATATACACGCGCAGAGAAGGGTCACGGAATGGTGAAATAAAAGTGAAAAAAAAAAAAAAAATAATAATATATGTGTGGGTGGAGAAAAATCCAATTGAAGAGTACGCTTCTAGGAGTGAGGTGTGTGCTAGGGAGAGAGGCACTACTCGAGGTACCAGAACATGGGTCCCTCTCCCTTGGATCCATCTGTCCTTTTGGGCATCCAAGGGAACGAAGTGGACTTGTGTTTTATTATGTAATTACTTCCGTACATGCACATGGTGCAGTAAAATAAAACGAAGGACCATAGAAACCAGACAATTGATACCTCTACTTTGTTTGCATCTTTGAGGTGTTCCGCGTCTGGAACGATTCTCTGTGGGTGTTTTTGTTTTAACCTGTTAAACAAAATTAATCGGAAGACATCCGTTCGTTCAGGGCCGTGAAAGGCACTTCCTCTGATCTTACTCGTTTTTGAATTACCCGAGTTTAAATCATTCATTGTTATTATTTTTCCGTGATAGGAACCATTTAGGTATGTAAACACATCATCCTGACCTTTAGTGGCAAGTGGACTGATCACTTTGGTTTTTTCCACTGGTTTTATAATGGCGAGCAAATTCGATGGCGCGATATATTTCCACTGGTTGTAGTCATGCCATTTTCCTAAGTAGATATGATTTCCTGCTAGGTTCGTTCTTGTTAGATTGAAAAGTCCCGAAGCCATTTTTGTATACTCGGGGGTTTCTTTCAGAGTGTGTGTGTTTCGCTGGGGGAAGGAGGTACCGTGTAAGACGGGTGGCGATTTGCTCTTCGTTCGCTTTGAAGTACCTATTTAAGGCTGTTTTTCACTCCTTTTTGGTTACTATTCTTGACCGTTTTGGTTTCCTTTTTTATAAGTGTTCCTTGGCACTGTTGATTGATTACGCTCGAGGCCGCTCGTTCGAGATGGTTCTCACCTTTTCGGGAGCACTTACGGAGGCCTAAGTCGTTCCTCAAGAGCACACATATTTTTGTGTTAAAAATGTGTTTGCTTATCTGTGCTGGTAGAATGCCTAAATACGCGGGAGAAGAGGAGTGGCTGAGGAAGAGGGAGTTAGCTCTTCGTTATGCGCCTCAAAATGGAAAGATTGGAAGCGGCAGGTGAATATAAATAAGTACTATGTACGTATGCATATATGTATGTACGTCGGTTGAATTTCTATCGCGCAATGTGCTGACGGGCAAAACTCCCTTATGTGCAAACCTATTTTTCACCGGCACTTGAGAGGCGTTTTTAAATTTGAAAAAAGGGGTAACTATTTTCAGGCGCTACGCGAAAACGGAGAAAATAACATGTGCAAGTAAACATCCTCTTAAGGAAATTTTTTTTTTTTAAACTATTCGTTCGCGTGCTGGTAATAACTGCACCCTTCTTCATTGCTACATTTGCATGAGTTATGCAGCAGGGAAAACGAACAATTAAAAACAGTTTGCTAGATGATATGGGTACTCCGGAAGAATTGCACCACACGGATATATGTGTTGCATTCTGTATGTATGCCTTGAGTTCACTACGTGCAACATTTGTTTTTCCTGCGCTCAGTGTTATCTTTTTTTGATGGGTACAATGTGCAGTTTGGGTTTTTCAAAAGCGTGAGTTGTGTTATTATGTTAAAAGAAGAGTTAATAAATGTGTACCAAGTGTGTACGCAAAGAGATTGATTATTTTGCTGAGTTGTTGCGACATGTATATGTATATGTATGAGCACAATCACACAGCTACGGACAGCGCAAAACTTTTTGGAGAATCTCCCATTTTATCATAGTTAACCGAGCGTATAGCCTTTCAATTTTCTTTATTCCAATTTTGACTCTTTTTGTACACGACCATCTTCGAAAGGATCGGAGGCACACCAAAGAACGCGGTGTGTGGGGTAAGGTGTCACTCCCCGAGCACATACAATGTTCTATGTTGGACATCCCTTTAACGGGAAGAATGTAACGATTTTGTTATATGTACCTTGTTAACATGGTTAAAGTTGCACAACGTTTTTCATTACCACATTGTTACGTGAAGGTGATTGTAGTGGGGAGGTAGTGAACCGAATTATGTGTCTCTTTAAGTGAAGGCTTTTCCCCAAAAGGGGCGCAAATACTTCAAGCAGAATTGTGGTATAATTCAAATTGAACAAAAAGTGTTTTCAAAAAAAAAAAAAAAAAAAAAAAAAACGAGTTAACAAACACTGCAATGACAAACATATAGCATTGGGGAAGGATAAAAATGAATTAACAAATTATTGTTTGTAGGTGTAAAAATTACATCGCTTAGGTATATCCCCAATGTGGACAGACAGAACTGGGAATTAAAATGGTCTTATTTTATTTTTTTTTTTTTCGCTGTTCCATTATGAGCATAAATTGGTACATGGCCACAAACGAATGGGTGAAAATTGGCCAATGCGTAAAGGGGGCAAGAATACCAACGTTGTAGTTTCATCTAGGGGGATCACACCCGTGTGTGCACACCACACGGAGTGGAAAATCCCCTACTGGACATTTAAATCGTAGGTAAAACTTGATACATCTAAGTTCAATATATTAACGAACGTGTCCTGCCCAAAAAAGTGCTTCAAGTTTGGAAAAGTTCTTCCTCTGTCTCCATTAACGAACTCTTTTATATACATCCCTGACTGCGCCAATAAATGTAATAAAGAAAAATGTTCATGAACAAAAACAAGATTGAATTCAAAAATTTTCCTTTCCCGTTTTAGTAGGCTCCTTCTATGGAGTACCCGTATTGGAGTTTTTTGTATTACGCTAATTACACAGTTGTCGTTTTTATCATAACTTAAAATGTCTTGATTTATTTTTTGTATTTTTTCTTTAGTCATTGGGGAGGAGTGGTATATAATGCATTTATAGGCCTTTTTTCTCTCTTCACCATACTTCATAATTTTTTTTATCAAGGCATAATTTGTGCTAAAAGCAACGTTACTGAATTTTACGTCCACAAGGTTGTTCATATTAGAGTCTCGATTGGCATTATGTGTGACGTTTTTTTTTAAGATGTCCATATTGGCCGCTTTATTTGGGGTTACACATCCGTTAAGAGGGTCACAATTTGCGTTTGCGCAGTTTTTCTTGGCATCATTTGGGTAAATAGGATCTTTTTTCTCAATTGGATCAATATTTCCCAGTTCGTTTGCTCCGATGGACTCACCTGATAGCAGCACTTCTAGCTCTTTATTGTAGTTACGCGAAATATTCAAACTGTGTATCTTCTGCTCCTGCACAGTTTTGCCCTTGTCTTGTTCTGCAAGAACTTTATGGGAGTCTAAATGGTACAATGAAATGGTGTCTTTTTTGTTTATCAGTGCATAGCTGTTGTTAATTCTCTGCAGGAGGGAATTGTCCTCGTTCAATATGGACACGCGTTCTCTTACAGAATTGTCACCTGCACATTTTCCTTGTTGAAGAAAGTGATTTATCTGATCTATTGTTTTAATATCGAGGGAGGTACCACAAGCAGGGTCAGTTAATTCCATCCTTTTTAACTTACTAAAAAACAGGTAAAAATTTAGGAAGGAGAATTTAGTTTCCTTCATGACAAAGACGAAGGGTCTTCCTATGTTCATCATTCGCACATCTTTGTCTTCCCTTCCGGATGCCATAAAGACCTCATTAGTGGATCGGAATGTTTTTTTAAAAATGTGATAAATGCATTCTTCCACTGACAATGCACTTTGGGATTCATTATTTATGAACCACTTGGTTTGTGACATTTCTTTGTTATATTTATTGTAGTAGCCACATATGCATAAGTTGTTAAGTGATATGTATACATCGAGGGTTGGAGGTGCGGGGGAAAACTCTGATTCTCTACTTTTCCCTTCATCGGACGGACTTGTGGCATTTGTTTTGTTTTCTACGTCTTCATTTTCTTCGTCAATTTTGGCATAATCTTCATTATCGTGAACCTCGTCATTATGCAATATTGCAGCTTCTTCATCCACACCGCTTTCATCGGTTATTTTTCTTTTTTTATTGTAAAGGCGATATTTTGCACTGTTACATTTATGCGCTGTTTCAGACGACTGATTGCTCTTTACGGTATGGTGTACACCTGTATTAACATTAAAAATTAACATAGTTTGTTTGTACAAATTGATAACGAATTCAGTTTGGGCCACACTTAGGGACACACTATCACATATTTTATGGTAAAATGTTACGTAAAAATAAATCAAAATATATGCAAATGTCTTTCGGATTTGTTTATTCGAAATATTATTGCTTCTTTTTTTGGGAGGTATTAAAATGTACTTTTCTATACGTTCACAATTACGGTGAAATGTGTCATGTGTAACATTTTCCACTTGGCAAAAAATTTGCTTCGTTTTGTGTAAGTAGAGGAAAAAAAAAACTATATCAATATTGTTCAGAAGGTCAAGTATATTTTTTATGCTATTAAATACACTGTTCATGTTTTTTTCCTCTTCTGCGCTGATAGGGAAATTTCCCTTTAACACTTCATGATGGAAACAACTATTCTTATTGTAGAAAAGTATCAAATCTATATTGTGTAGCCCGTTGCACATTTTACATAGGTATAAATTCGTGTACACATTCTTATACACATTTTGCAAGTCTCCTTCTTTCGTGTTCTTACACTGATCCGCTACGTACTTTGAAAACCGTTTTTTATCATTGTCTAAAAAGATGCTACTCTTTTTGTTTGCTTTCACTTCTGGTGTAGCATTATTAAAATCGTTTAAAAAATATCCGTCGAAATATAGGTACGCATGATCGCTTAGCGATTCTTCAGATATGGAACAGCGATAGCATATATTTTCCATTATTATGTTGTGCGCAATCGTATGGATGAACAGGTAGAGGCTCGAAGAATTTGGGGTATTGTGCGCGTGGGGGAAAATTTTAAAAAATGATTGCACGAGTTGGAAGTGGTCATAACTGGGCTTGCATAAAAAAAGAAAAAAAAAAAAAAAGATTTATCCTGGCGCACATGTATACAAGCATACATACACTCCTGCGTGCGCACGTGCATCTGCACTTATATAACATATTGTTCGTTCATTTTTGCGAGATGAAACAACTGTTGCGCAAGAATTTCATGGTTAGAGATGTTCGTTAGAATCTTTCTTTGTCATAAGAGGTTCTACATATTTGAATAATGATAAACCATTCGTTGCTTTCAAGCGACTAATTTTAAAGCATCATAGCGAAAAAAAAAGGAAGTGCAAATTTGTTTCATGCGTCATGTATATATGTGTATACATTTATATATGTAGGTCATTTTGTGAACAAAAACTTATCTTATGGGGACAAATACAACTTCTGTTAAGAACGATAAAAGCACGAACTTGTTGGTTCTTATCCGTACAACCTGAATGTGATAAAACAAAAAATAAAAATAAATAAAAACATGAAATAGTAGGGCAATAAAATAAATCCTGTTCTGTGTTTAGAAGAGGGCGGTATTGCCAAATTTTATTTTTAAATTTAAGTGTACAGCACAAGTGTAGTTATGCATTTTCTTAATTTTCTGTAAGTATATTCTATTTAAAATTTTTTCTTTTTTTTTGTTTTCATTTTATTTTCATTTATTTTGATTTTTCCACGAGTTGTGCTTTACTTGTTGATTCCTGATGATTAAGTATATATTTTTTTGTTTTACTTTTTCACATGTGTATATATATAACGTATGGTTTCACACGAGTACAATTACTCATTTGCATACATGTATGTGAAAGAATATATGTACACATGTGTTAACCACGTGAAATTTTCTTTAGATCATATTTAATATACATTTCTGATTATACTTTTTGGTGTTAAAAACGCGTAAAAACATTTTGTATAGGCACATCTAATTTCTGTACTATGGGGCTTTCCACTTGCTTTTATTTTAACCCCCAAAAGAAAGGTGTTACAGCTTTTTCTTTTTTTGTTGTTTTAAGCATGCTTTGGGGGTTATAACGAAATTTTGTGCATGTAGAAAGGAGCATACATGTATACACATATGTAAAATATACGTATCTTTTTTTTTTATCTATTTTTTTAAAGTGTAAAAAATTATCTTAACATTCTGCTAAATAGAAGTATAGCAATTAAAAAAATTACCCATCGGAATTTGTGTGCAGCCATATAGGATACTCGGTGGAAGCACATAGATAATAGCGTATCCCCGAAATTGCAAAAAATTTTATGTAAATTTTCATCATAATGATACGGAATAATGAGTTGAATTGCAAACACAACGATTTATTTTCCTATGAGGATCCTGAATTATGCGAGGAGGAAAATTTGTTTGAGTCTAACCAGGCTCCGTGGTTTTATCACCTGACACACTGTAAGAAAAGAAAAAAAAAAAAAAAAAAAAACAGAGATGAAACTATCTAAAATTTGAACAAACAAAAAAAAAATATATGTATGATGTTCATGTACATCGAAGGAATGTGTGAACAGATGCATGGGTAAATAACCCCCGTGTAGAATAACAAATGTCTTTGTTGTAAAAATGCCCTATGTGTTGTTTGTGAAGTATCAGGGGGTGGAGTAGCAGTGTCATTTTGTCGTGTTGACGCGTATATTAGGACATGGCAAAATGAGCAAACTTTTTTCCCCTTTTTATTTTTTTTATTTTGCCCATATTTAAAAATTTTTTCCCTTTCCTACATTTTTCTGGTGTCACCTACAGTGCTAGAATTGAGAAAGGATGACTTCAAAAATATAAAAAGCATCGTGGAAAATGAGAAAAAGAGAGGAATCGAGTACAGTCATATATTAGACATCATAGACTACAAAACGTACAGTGATATTATGCGAAAAATAAATTCCAACATGAAGAACGCCTTATCTGTTTACTTATTTTCATGTAAATATTTTTTAAGTAAATACTCCAAAAACACGGAGTCCAATGGGCATGTGCATTTTGTGTTTGTGTTTGGGAACATAACGGCAGATATGGTAAGAAAAGTAGAGAAGGAAACAGAGAATTGGATGGATAAATACTCCTCTTCGCCATTTTCACGAACATTTATGGAGTTACTTTTTCACGTATCATTTTTTCTTTCACAGGATTCCGTTTGTTCTTCCATCATATATAGTTTTTTTTTGCATATATGGTATTCCTTAAAAAGCAAAACTGCCAAGGACAAAAATTCAGATGAGCTGAAATTTTTTATCCCCGTAATTAACATTAAGAAGAGTGACATGAAGCTTAAAATTTTGGTAAAATGAGGCATATATCATACGTAGACGGGTGAAATTATATCTCGGCGTACACATTTCTATCTTGAGAATTATAACTTTTTTTTTTTTTTATCTTATTTTAATGGGTGCAAATTGGGAGGAGAAGAGTAGCTACCTATAATGTAATCCTTTTTTTTTTTTTTTTTTAGATCAATTGGTGGTTAGAAAAATGTGAGATAAACGACCCGGAGGAAATTCTAGTTTTTAATGATGACAAGAATTTGCTAGAAGTAAGACGTATAGTAGAATAGAGCAATGCGTAGGACGTGTTTTTTTTTGTTTGTTTTTGCGCCGCATTATTAAAGTATTATCTCTCTGTATGTTTATTTCGTTGTGCTTCTACAGTTACGTGCAAATGTCGATCTCTTTCTTCTTGGTAGGTTCTAAAAAACGACAACAAGTACGATATATGCTTCGTTGACTTTAATGACTTCGAGCCGAATAACATTTAGTAAGTTTCGTGGGGAACAATTCCCTGTGTTTAATTTATCACTTGGTAGTGTACGAAGGAGAGTTTCGAGGATGTTGGGACGTAGCAGCTTGTATAGACACGTGAAAAATGTGCATATGTGCATATGTGCATTTGGAAGTGTCCCATTGACTAGGAATCGGTTCGTCCATCCCCCTTTTCAGCAACATAAACAACGTGAAATCCATAATTGATCACCATATGCTTAAGGAAGAGGCGAAAAATAAAAGAATAACAAAATCGATTTACCCCATATATGTGTGCAGCTGCATGGTTATCATAGCCTATTTGGTAAGTTGAAAGGGCAGAAGCAATGGACATATAAATGGGACAAAGTGAAAGGAATCATATATATACTCATGGCCATATTTTTCCTCTTCATTGCAGTATAAGCATTCGAGCGAATTTCTTGGGATACCGTTCATTAACAAAAATATGATGTGGCTGATATATGGGACTATACTAAGGGGTTATTTAAAAAAATCGCAAAATGTGACTTAGTTTTATCGTCATTTGAGTTTTATGCAGATCTTACTTTTAGAGCTATTTCGTACATGCTCATATCGCAAAAGTGTGCATATTTATGTTCATACAAATTAATATAAATGTGCAAATTTTTCTTTTTTCTTTTTTTACCCCCGTGTAGATTCTAACAATTTCCCAAAAGGGGATTTTGGAAAACGATGGATACAACCGTAATTTATAAGAAACGTGAAATGAGCAATACAAAATGAGCTGTGTATATTTGAATTTGTTGTAGCCTCATGTGACAAATGGTTAGGAGGGATAAACTCTTACAACTCCGTGGAATTATTCTTTTTTTTTTTTTTTTT